ACCGATCAACGATGGCCAATCGTTCCGGGAGGGGGGGGAATATATGGGCTTCATTCCCGTTTTTTTTTCGTCCTCTGTGGGTATTGTTCTCCGTGCCAGCAGGCGTTTTCGTTTCTTGCAGCTGTGCGAAAACCAGGCCGGTTGTCAACCCGTGTCGTGTCGGATTAAACCTGGCCTCTGCTGGATGTGCTGTTGCTACTGCTGCTGCTGCTGCTGTTGTCGTCGTGCTTCTCGTGGTGGTCGTAGCGTGGCGGCCGTCCGTTGATTGACGATCCGTTTGTGAACTTCTCGTTTGTTTTGTTTTTGGTCCTGCTTCAGGTGATGCTCGTTTACTTCATCGGCGGGGTGACCTACATGGAGATCGCGGCCTTGCGCTTCCTCAACGCGCAGCGAGAATGTACGTGCCATCTTACGTAGTACACAGCAGTACAACCGCCTGCTGCGGTTTATTCGCACACACAAGCTCACCCTAACTGGGAGGTCCCAGACCATGGCCTTGTATCTCACTGCGTGCTGTTGTCGCTCGTTCGTCACCATATCCGTTTCTCGCTGACTTTCTCTCGCCGATCCCCTACCCTACCCCCGCCCCTGCTCTCACAGTCCCGTTCGAGATCGTTACGGCTACCACGAAGATCACCAACGGAGAAGAGTTTTTGGAGACCTTGTTGCCAAACTTCGACAACCGGTTGCAACGATAGACGACGGCGCTGTTTTTTTTTTCGTACTGCTGTACGTCGGCGTAGAGAACACGGGGTGGCGGGGAAGACGTTATGGGCAGAAAGAGGGCGGCAGCGCTCTCTTTCCGTCGATGCTGCCGTCCTTCCTAAGCCCTTGTTCGGTGTCCGTATACGTTGCGTTTGAGTTATCTGGTACTACAGCAGTACGTAGAGGGCAAAAAATGCCGTCGCGTCGCATCCGAGCCGTTCTTCGTCGTTCCAGCTCATCAGTAGTAGGAGGTATTTCTTTCGAAGTTTTCTTTCTTATTTTTACGGACGACGCTGGCTCCTTCCGCTACGCTGACAGCACCTTAGGGTCCCCCCTCCCTCCCTCCCGGGGCAGGGAGTAATCGCGTTGGTTGGTTGTCCATATACACCAAGGGCCGGGTGGGGTTTTGTGCGGCGGTGAGATTTGGGTTTGAGGAGAGAAAAAGAGGCCAAGAATGAGGATAGTCTAGGATACAATGGGTCGGTCGTTGCCTCGGGGAGAAGAGAGAGTCCGTCCGCATACGGCAGTACGTAGTCTACGTTCCCGCCAGCGGTCTCCCAAGTTTCAAGGGCGCTCGCGTACGTGCGGATGTCCGTGGATGTACCCTCCCTCTTGGAAGTAGAGCGTTATCTGGAAATAGCGTGGCACGAATCTGGCATCCCCATCTTTTCCCCATCCTTCTCTTGGCATAATCAGAGCAAATGTTTTTGTTTCTGCAGTCGGTAGGGCGCGGGGCCGGTGGGTGGAGAGCGCGCCCCTTGCGGTGTGTGCACCTTGCTTGGTGGTTTCTACCTTGTGGTAATGGTAGTTGTTTGGCCATCAACCTGGCGTTGGCGTTGAATACTACGTATGCATGTTACGGCACAACACCGCTGGGAGAGGCGCAATTGCCTCCGTAGGGTTTTTCTATCTATCAAGTCGGCATGTTGGATAAAGCATGCAATAGGGAAAGTTAAAGTTGGGCTGAGGGTTTAGGGTTTAGGGTTAGGGTCTGCGTACCCCCTCCCTGTTCTATCTCCTCATTTCAACTTGATCTCTCGCGAAGTTGGACTGTGTTTTTGTTCGTGCGCGGAAGAGCTGGGCTGCGAACGGAGACGATGAGGAAGAGGGAACAGACGCGCCCGCAACTTCGGCATCCACCGGCCTCCGGCTTCGCCCCGCCTGTTTTTGGGTGACCCCGCTCAATCTACGCAAGCTTACGGCGTCGAGTTCGTCAATATCGCGACATTTTTAGGCGACGGAAAGTCAAGGCATGTAACATTGTAGCAGATGAACAGTCCGCGCTGATTGGTCTGTCTATCTAGCTAGTCCAAGTGGTTTGACATTTGTTTTCGGTAGCTCAAGACGGTGGGAAGGAGGGAACCCTCGCGCCCCCTGTTCTGCGTTCGACGCTGCGAACCGCAACAAACACAACCGTTTGCCGAGTGGGAGTTGAGCGTTGGCTCACCACGCGAACCGCGCGATTATCGGGCA